AGCAAGGGGGGGGGAGCAGCATCGACACAGACCATTTTCAGTAAAGTAAGGTGATTTGATGACTTATACTAGATTTCAGATATTTCACTTTACGTATGGGTCCTATAAGATTTTTCAGTATTATAATACAGTAATGTATTAGCTACATTAGCTGATAAGTATATTAGCATGACAGCAGATTGTGCTGAAATACATGTTTTATTTTATTTTGGCACATTTTATTTTGGCCCTTTGTCCATTTGGCTTGCATATGGATAAAGTTGATACTTAAGTTACACCCTGAGGAAATCCTGCATTATTTATAAGGATGCAAATTATTATAGCAAGATTTCTTCTTATGCTTACATTTCTTTACTTTAGTTTAATCTTGTGTAATCCTACTGAAGTCAATAAAATAAATACAGCCTGATGCCAACTTCCTTATATTAGTCATATCTGTATCCCATTGCTTATATGATAGCCAGCTGTCCTAGGAATTTTCTTACCCATCCATATTTGGAGATGCCAAAGGTTAAACCTGAAATTTTATTCATGAAAAGTATATGCTACATCAAAGAATTTCAGTTTTAAAGGTATTGTACTATTGTACTCTCCTCTTAGAAATGATATTTATGATAACAACTGAACATGCAGTTAATCTGAGCCTAAAACATCTTACACTGTCTTTTTTCCAAGGCAGCTGAAGGATTTGTGTGGCTTCTCTCTTGTTCATTATGTGAGGCTCTCTCCAGCCTCCTGCAGTTTCCCTGGAAATCTCAGGGGAAGATGCCATGAAGAAATCCTTCCCATGGGGTTTTTCATAACAGGTAGTAGACAACCTGGGAGACTATAAAGAGGTGAACAAATACATAGCAGAAAAGAACATCAGCAATGCCTGGAACTTCCACAACCTTTAAGGAAATTAGAAAAGGTTCAGCAGGATAATTCAAGCATTCTTCATTGCTGCTGTTCCATGGAAGCAATGTTGTACATTAGTTATGTTCTAGTATTAACCTGCAGAGTTCCCAAGTTGTTGGGAAGCATACTTTAGGATTGCTAACAATCCTAAACAAGAAATGGTTAATAGCTTGTACTCACAGTAGGGCAACCTGGCAATGCAGATATGCCCATAGGAGAATATTTCTTTTTTAGCCATTAGGAAAATAATTGTCAGATCAATGTAGGTCCATCAAGGCCACATTATGAAAACCGACTTGCAGCTCTCTAGGATTTCATCACCTTACTGGAGATACCAGAAATCATTTACATATAAGGCATGTCCTGAACCCATCATATGTAATAGAATGAGGTGAAGCACCTGTACCAGAGCAACAGCTCCCTGACATCTGGCACACTAGACTGCCCCAGAGTTGCTGATGTCCCAAACTAGACTGTAGCAGCCACTGGGATTCATGAGATTGCTAGGCATGTCATCTCTGCCTCTGATCTATGGTTCCTAAGCAGCACCAAAGCAATACCAGCAAAATCAAGAATTAATGATCATTCACCAAAATTCACAATTATTGACTCAACAATTTGATTGGAGAGGAAAAGATAATAAAAATTTTACACGTTATTGTTCCCTAAATTAAAGGTAGGATATGTGTGACCTTCCAAGTATTGCTAACTATAACCCCCATATCATTTCATTTTTGGTCATTTAGAGGCTTACAAGTTCCCCCATTACCATAATAAACCCGTCCCATGCAATCTCACAGAGAGGGCATGCTCTGGACCCCCTCGACAAAAGAACTCTGACTAGCGGGGTCCAGAAGGCAGGCCTTCTCTGCTGTAGCCCCCACCCTTTGGAACATCTTGCCCCTGGAGGTGAGACAGGCTCCCTCACTCCCAGCCTTTCAGAGGGATTTGAAGACCTGGCTCTGCCATCTGGCCTGGGGTGGGGATGAAGGTTGTCAGAAATGGGGTTGGCTAGCCCCCTAGAGGCCTAGTGTGGCTTCCATTGGCCTCTTGGATTTTTTTTTCTTCTTTCCATTTGTGTAGATGTGTCTGTCTTTTATAAATTTTAATTATGTTTTAATTGTTTTAAATTGATGCAAACCGCCCAGAGTCCTCCATTGCAGGGAGATGGGTGGGGATAAGTCTATGTATAAATAAATAAATAAATGAATAAATAAATAAATAAATAAAGCCTCATTCTATATTTAAAAAGAGGTCTAACCAACTACCCTTTTCTGCAAATATTGCATGGAGAAAATGATATTACTGTGGCAAACTACTTGCCAGCTCTTCCTTTGCACTTCATAAAAAAAGAACAGATTGATCCTAGCGCCAAACTGCACCTGTTTGGCTCCAGCTAGGAAGCACTATCTGCACAGTGGCTCCTAGTGTTTCAGTGCCCTTGGGAATCCTTGTGTCTGAAAGGCAAAATATAAAATTAAGCAATTATTAATAGCAATCATTTATCATGACAAAGCCATAGATCTCTGCCTTCTACTGGAGACAGAAGTCAGACGATGTAGCAGCTGATTATCTTATTGCAGAGTCATAACCACAGGCCATATTGATTAAATGCTGATCTGGGAGAAGACAGGGTTGTGCCTAGAAGTGAGGGACTGGAAAACAATGGCTGTCTTTACCACTTTGCATTCACCTTGTATGGCTCTGTCTAGCACTGGGACAACTTTGTCCAGTTTCCTTAGAACAGGCCTCTCCCACACTTAGTCTTATTTTGATTTACATTCCTCGATGGGGAATCTGAGTGAACATACTAAGCATCATAGACATTTAGCAGGAGACGGGAGTTAATATTTTTTTTATTATAAAACTAATGCCTTCTCTATTACATTTTCTCACACAGCACCAACAGTTTATGTGGCATTTTATACAATACAACAGAATCATTTCTTGCTTTGAGGCTATGTTACTATCCAGCTGTCACTTTAATTCAGAAAATTCCTATGAACAGCCTTTTGCACTAGTTTCAGGTATCCTGATTTAGTGTGCTCTACGTACATTTCTATTTGGAGTGTTTCATACTAGCATTTACACTGTTTCAAATACCTTCACCTAGTTTGTTGCAGAGAAATGTGATACTGAACAAGACTGCATCTCCATATCTTTTCGGTATTCTGTGACATTCTTGTCTTCGCTGGCTGTATCACAAAAAGGTTCCAGGGAGATGGATTATATCTTTTTTTTTCCCCTTTCTTTCTTCCTTTTTATTGCTTTAGACAGAAAAACATAGAAAAAGAAAGAAAAATGTTTAGAAAAAGAAGAAAACCAAAACAAGAGGAAAAAGTAAAGAGACAGAATACATTTATATATATATATAAAAAAAGTTCAGTTTTTAAATAAAGTGTTAACTTGGCCACACATAATACTAATCAATTTTTTATTATGTCATAATACTTCATAAACAGACAGGAAATGTATGTCATAAATGCAAGATTGCAAATCCATAGTGTTGTTCTCTTCCTATTCTAAAATAGTCTTTTAATTTTTTTGCTATGGTCTATGCTAGGAATATCCATAATTCTTCATATATTAGTAACTCCAATTTTCTGGTATATCACATTCACATCTTTAAATTATGTTACTTTTTGAAATGTATTATACCTGCAGTACTTGAATTTCTACTTGTTCTGCCTTACTTCAACCTACTAGATTTCTGCTATTAAATCAGACAAGCCACACAAATATTATTATTATTATTATTATTATTATTAATAATAATAATAATAATAATAATAATAATAATATACACCCCCAGTGAGGCACTACCTTGACATGGTTGTCAGGCTTGATTGCCCAAGGAGGATGAGACCTATGGTAGAAGTTCAACCATAATGGACAGGTCTCATCAGAGGAGCCAAACAAAGAGTGCCTCTTTCATAAGCAATATGGTGAGATGTAATTTACAGAAACCTATACTGGATTGGTCGTCACCCCGGTCAGCAAGGACTGTGCTAGATGTTCTAGTTCCTGGACATCTGGTGAAAAGTGGGCTACATGACTCAGGACTGTTGGCTGACCAACCAGGACCAGCAGCTGCAGAACTACTGGAAAAAAGTTGTTTATCTGTTGCAAATATACAAAGACTGAAAACAACGAAATAATGATCTGCAATTACAAATCAAATCCAACGAGAAGAGAATATCTGAAACGAATGCATCAGTTCTGGAAAAAAACAACATCCAAAATCAGAAATAACAGAACAGAGGCTAGCAGATCAATGTTCATTTATAGTATGAAATAAAGTATTCAAAAAAGTAGAATTGGAAGAACTACTAAGGTTTACCCAGGGCAAAGACTGAAGCCTTGCCAGAAATAGCTCAGACTGTAGAGGCAAATCAGGGGAATTCGGCATTAGAGGAAGCCAATATAGCCATTGAATCATTTTCATTCCCAAACCAGGCACCCTCTCCTCTACCTTCTCCTCAGAATAACCAAGCTCTGTAACTAAAAAACAAGAAGGATTGAAAAAAGAATAACTGAGCATCTAGAACAGCACAAAAGCAACAGAATAAGGTTGCCTGCATTAAAGCTTGCTACAAAGAAACAGCTAGTCAAGTATTAAAAGATGCCAATACTGTAATATCAAATATAAGCACCAGCTCCCTGCAAAAAACAAACCATCTGATGTACAGCACACCTGAAGTTATAACAAGATTTTGGATGCAAAATCAACAAACAAGAAAAAAAGCCAAACAGGGCACCACTAAAATGGAAGATCAGGTTGGAAAATAAGATCAGTATGCTAAGATCAGATACAAGCAAGCTAGAACAGATGAAAGAAAAAGCTGAAGAACAAGAGGACCAAAGAATACCTTATCAAGAAATATCACCTAGAAACAAGGAAGACCAAGGAAGCACTGGAAATAATAAAACAGCAAATAACAGCCATAGTCAAGAAGATTAGCAGATACGAAGCTCTAATTGCACACTATAGGCAGAATTTCCAATTTCAGTTGAATCAGAAAGGTTTCTACCAATCCATCAATGGAGAGACTACAATGAACCAGCCAACACCTGACAAAGAAGAAGCAATGCATTTCTGGGTGCAGCTATGGGACAATTCAAAGAAATGCAACAAGAATGCAGCTTGGATAAAGGAGATGGATAAGAATAAAAAACTGAAATGAAAGAATTTGTAATAACAGCAGAAATGGTGGAGAAAAGGGCAAGGAAGATCAAGAAGTGATCAGCACTAGGTGAAGATGAACTCATGGATTTGGTTGAAACATCTGATTAGTCTGCAGCTACTCATTGCCAAGCAGTTTAACAACATACTGCAAGGAGGTAAAATTGAAGATTGGTTAACATCTGGCAAAACTTACCTGATAATGAAATATCCAACAAAAGGGGCAGCACCAGGCAATTAGAGGCCAATTACCTGCTTACCAACAACTTTCAAATTGCCAACTGGGGTGGTAGCTGATGCAGTCCAACAGCATCTAGCTGAAACCAAGCTGTTTCCACCTGAGCAGAAAGGAAACTGCCCAAACACCAGAGGAACAAAAGATCAGCTCCTAACTGACAAGATGATTTTGGAAAACTGCAAGAGAAGGAAGACTAACTTGAATGTAGCCTGGATTGATTACAAGAAGACATTCAACTCCCTGCCACATGATTGGATAATCAAGTGCCTAGAAATAACAGGAGTCATCAGATGTAAAAACATCTGAAGCTTTGTACAAAGATCAATGGCACAATGGAAAACAGTTGCTGGCCAGTGGTGACAGATGGGAGAGGTTAATATCAAAAAAGGAATCTTTCAAGAAGACTCACTATCATTACTACTATTTGTCATTGCATTGATTCCTCTGTTAACAATATTAAACAAGTCAGATCATGACTATCAAACATCAAAAACATCTTCCAGGCTATCTCGCCTCATTTACATGGACGATCTGAAGCTGTATAGAAAAACACCATCTAAAATAGGATTGCTGCTGAATGCTGTCTGATTATACGACCAAGATATTGTAGTGGAGTTTGGACTGGACAAATGTGCCACACTTACCTTCAATGGGAAAGATAGTGAAAACTGAAGGAATCAAGATGCTCTATGGAAATAACATGAAGAGTCTGGATGAAGTAGATCACTACAAACACCTGGGCATCCTTCAAGCTGACAACATCAAGCACACTGAAGTCAAGAAAAAGGTTAGTAGTGAATACATCAGAAGAGTGAAGAAGAGCTTAAAGTCCAAACTCAGTGAATACCATCAAGGCAATTAGCACCTGGGCAATTCCAGTCATTAGATATACAGCTGGAATAGTGGACTGGACTCAAGCTGAACTAGAAGCCCTGGATAGGAAGACCAGAAAAATAAAGGCAATGAATCATGCCCTTTATCCATGCAGTGATGTTGACAGTCTCTATTTACCAAGGGGCATAGCTGGGTGCTGCAAGTACAACTGACAGCTGAAGAAGAAAAAAAGGGCATTGGAAGAATATCTGAAGGACAGTGAGGAAGATGCACTGAAGCTAGTTCACGACGAAGGCTTACTGAATACCAAAGAGACCAAACTGGCCTATAAGAAAGACCAAATGAAGAATAGAAAAGAAGCATGGCAAGGCAAAGTATTACATGGCCAGTACATTAAAAGCAAAACAAAACAAAACCTAGCAGGCAAAGCAGATATCAAAATACCTGGCAATGACTAAGAGCAGGCAAATTGAAGAAAGAGATAGAGCGACTAATCCTGCCTGCACAAGACTAAGCTTTAAGAACAAATGTATATAAAGCCAGAATTGAGAAGGCAACAATAAGACAGCAAATGCTGCCTCTGCAAGGAAGCTGAAGAAACAGTGGACCACCTAGTTAGCTGCTGCAAGATCTCGCAGACTGATTACAAACAACAGCATGACAAAGTAGCAACAATGGTGCATAGAAATATCTGCAAGAAATACCATTGCCTGCAAGCAAGAACTAGTGGGAACACAAAATAGACAAAGTAACAGAAACTGAAAAAGCTAAAGTGCTCTGGGACTGTAGAATTCAAACAGATAAGCACCTGCCACACAACACCCCAGTCTTAACGACTGTTGATAAGAAAGACAAAAAAGTCTGGATAATGGACATTGCAATACCCAGAGACAACAGAATAGAAGAAAAAGAACTGGAGAAAATCACAAAATATGAAGACCTGAAAATAGAACTCAAATGACTATGGAAAAAGAAAGCAAAGATAGTACCAATAGTAATTGGTGCCTTGGGTGCAATTTTAAAACATCCGTAGCATCACTTGAACACCATCAGCATTGACAAAATCACCATCAGTCAATTGCAAAAGGAAGCTTTACTTGGAACAGCTTATATCTTTTGATGATACCTTTAATATTATTAAACAACAACATCTACCTATCCCAAGTCCTTAAAAATGCCAAATCCAGTTTAAATATCTGGCTGACTGTGTGACTAACCATAATAATATAATTTTGATAACCTAAAACGACAATCAGGAATAAAAAGCACTTATAAAATGCATTTTATATACTACCACAAGTGGGAAGGAGATATGAATAGAAATAAATTTGTATTTCTGCTACCCTTTTCTTCCCTCCCTTTTAGGATTAATAAATTTATTTGAAAGTTCTTGAACTGAGTTGCTTGTGCAAGTTTTTGAGGAGAATATTGCTGTCTGTCTGTCTGTCTACCTACCTACCTACCTACCTATAATCCTCCCTTTCCTCTAGGTGCTTAGAAACCTGGAGATTGCCAATATTTTCTTCTCTTCACAGCTAGAGAGGTAGGTTGGATTAAGTGATAATGAGTGCTTCAGATTTGCCCTAGTGGGCTTCCATGCTTGAGTACAGAGTTGATTCTGAAATCCTCTCGCCTCATCCAATTTTCTATACCATTGTGGCTTAACTCTCATACAAATAATAATATTTAAACTGTTTTGCTTACATGTCATAAGTTTTCTAGAGACTTAAAGTGCTGCTGTTTCCCCTTAAATTTCAGGCAACAGACAATATGAACTATCTCTGGCTTTGCTCATTTCTAGGATATCTCAATGAAGATATTGCCAGTCTAATCTATAATGCTTCTGGCCTGGTGGAAATGTCCTATTTCCTGGATGCCTCCAATCATAATTCGGAAAGTACCAACACTGCCCTAGTGGTGAGTCATTTATCTGTTATTGACAAATCCTGATTTGCCTTCACACTTTGTACAATGAATATGACACTGTTTTCCTCATCAAAGGATTTTGCATA